CAGGCCCAGTGAATGATTGTCGTCCCTCATTTATGCTAAAGAATGAAATCTGCTTATCTCAAAGTGCATTTGGCTGACTGGCACCAAGTATCCTCTACTCCCAGCCACCATAAATGATATACTTTGTCCCATATGGCAGGACTCTGGGTTATCATTCAAGGTCTTTGCTTATCTAAGAGTGGGAGACAGATGTATTTAGTACTGTGGGGAAATAAAAGTGGAGAAAGGACACCCTCGTGCTGCTGCTGCGGGAGCTGGAACCTGAGAACAGCCGATCATCCTGAGGGCTAAGACAAGGGCACCCCCTTGCCCCATTGGCATCTTGCTTTACAAGACACTTCAACTTACATCTCTACCCCTTCCACCTCTCATTTTTCTTCAGCATGTCTGAACTACATAAAGTCTTTGGGCAGCGCCTGTGGCTCAGTGCGTAGGGCACCAGCCCCATATACTGAGCATGGTAGGTTCAAACCCAGCCCCGGCCAAACTGCAACAAAAAAATAGCTGGGCACTGTGGTGGACACCTGTAGTCCTAGCTACTCAGGAGGTTGTGGCAAGAGCCCAGGAGTTGGAGGTTGCTGTGAGCTGTGATGCTACAGCACTCTACCGAGGGCTACAAAGTGAGACTCTGTCTCTAAAAAAAAAAAAGAGCCTTCCAGCCTGTAGTCCCTCCCAATCACTGTCTCCAGCCAAACATCCCAAAACAGTCTCTGAAGAGAAAAAAAGAAAAATAAAAAAGTCCTTCAAGAAACAAAGTCCAGCCTTTTGGCTCAGGCACTGAGGCTCAGCATGACCCAGCCCTGCCTCATTCCCTGGCTCCTTGGCAGGCATCAGCTAGGCTGTGTGTCACAGCACCCAGCCTGCCCTTTGCTCACACCACACGCTCTGCCAGGAATACCATCCTCACTGCTGACTACTTAACTTATTCATGGTAGGTGCTAAGTAGACAATTTTTCCAAGTGAATGGATTCAGGACCGATCCATTTTCAAGGTTCAATCCAAATTTTAGGTTACATGCAAATTTTTCCACAGCCACCAAAGTCTGAAGGTATCACTTCATCTTCTCCATTTTAAATATATTTATAAAGTTATATGTAGTATCAACTGTGGGGCAGGTGTCAGGGCTCAGCCCAGATTAGATACTGTCCTACCCTCAAAGAGCTCAGAGTCTAGTGAGGAAAGTCACAAAACTTAACTACCAAACAATGCTCTGGGCACCAGAGTATTAATATGAGAATGTTTTCTTATTGTTTTACACATTAATTGAGCTACTACTAAGTTTTAGGAACCAATCTAGGTATTCCTTGTGAGTTATGATTTAATCCTAATTAACAATTTCACAAGGTAAAAAAAAGACTGAAAATTTGGTTTCCCATGGTTATTTGGATAAGCAGTCTGAATTCAAACAAGTTGGGTCTGGGATCCTGCCACCATCTACCCTGCCTCTAAACCCTGAAGGGCCTCGTGTGTTAAAGGAACAGAGATGGGTAGGATGGGAGGAAGACATCCCAGGTAGAAGGAACAGCACAAGGTGTGTTCAATGAAATGGGAATGGTCCAGAGAGACCAGGGTATGTGCGTATATGCTGAAGGAAAGAAACAGGTCAGGTTAGACCGAAGTGCCTTGGACTTGGTCTTGTAAATTGCAGGAGTAGCCTACTATGTGTCATGTGTTCCCAACAAGCTAAGCTCCTGTAAGAGCAGGCACCAAAGCCCTCTCTGCATTCTCATACCATCCAGGCTGCATTCAATACAACTGGTGGAAGCCCATGGGCTTTTCTGGGGCTTTGCTTTTGTGTTCCCAGTGGAACCCCATGGTTCCACCCAGCTTCATGAATACACAGTATTTGTGCCCCTAACCAGGCTTGGAGCCTTAGAAATCAGTGGTTGTCTGAGGCCAAGAGCAAACTTTCCACAGCTGCCACCAAGTAGGCTGGGTAGGTGCCATCTTTCCTACTCACCAAAACTCTCACCACTGCCTGGGTTGCTTCATTTCTTGAAGTCATGCATGCTGTAAAGCTGTCTCAAGATTATAATAGTAGCACTTAAGATGTGCTAGGCACTGTGCATTCTCATTTAACCCTCAGTCTTAGGTACAAGGTACTATTACACCCATTGAACTGATGAGAAGTAGAGGCTTAGAGGATACAAGCAAGTCTGGTCTGGAATGTAAGTTTCCAATCCCAATGCCCATGCTCTTAACCACTTAGCCACAACACCCACCAGGCAAAGAGATTAAGGAAAGATCAAAGAAAGGAGTTGCCGAGATCTTAAGACACATCTAGTTCCAGCTTGCTACTCTCAGATTCCTATGCAATGAATGTGAGAATCATTTAACCATGATGTGACCAGAAAAACCTATTCCCATATGAACAGACTTTAGACGTCCCATGCCAAGTGTAAGAGTTCTTCATCTACCCCTCCTGAGAGTACCTTTACCAAAACCACCTGAATCTCGGTCGCACTAATTTTTATTTAGGCAAATATCTAAGCATCTACTCCATGCCAGGTATGGTTCTAAGAGTGGAGAATACAGCAGGTAACACAAGGAACAAGATCCTTGGACGCTTAAAGGTTAACATCTGACAAAGGTGACAAGTAGATGAGATGATTTCTAATCAAGTATATGAAAGGCTCAGCACCTATAGCTCAGCAGCTAGGGCACCAGCCACAGACAGCCTGGGCCCGCCAAACACCAATGACAACTACAACCAAAAAATAGCCAGGTGCTGTGGTGGGTGCCTGTAGTCCCAGCTACTTGGGAGGCTGAGGCAAGAGAATTGCTTAAGCCCAAGTGTTTGAAGTTGCTGTGAGCTGTGATGCCATAGCACTCTACTAAGGGCAACATAGTGAGACTGTCTCAAAAAAAAAAAAAGGAAAAGAAAAGATGGAGACAGTGATGGGAGGAGGGAGGCTGACTCAGAAAGTCCTTGCTGGGGAGGTAGCATTCGAATTCATAACCCAGCTGACAAGGAGCCAGCCTTCAAGGTATAAGATCTACCTTATCCTTGGTGGGCTGAAAAGACATTAGCAATTTAATCTCAATTCTTCCTTCACCAGCAAGTGAGCAAGTAGAGACTCAATGAGATTAAAAGACAAGGGCAAGATCTCCTGACTACAGGATGTTTTGACCTACCCTTCTACAGAGCCTGTAGACACACACATTTGAAATGTAAGCTTCTTATATTGTACTTTTTTTGAGAGTCTCAAGTTGTCGCACTGGGTAGAGTGCCATGGCATCACAGCTCACATCAACCTCAAATTCTTGGGCTTAAGTGATTCTCTTGCCTCTGCCTCCTAAGTAGCTGGGACTATGGGCACCTGCCACAATGCCTAGCTATTTTTTTGGTTAAGGTCCTCATTGTTGTTTGGCAGGCCCAGGCCAGGCTCGAACCCACCAGCCTCAGTGTATGTGGCCAACAATCTACCCACTGAGTATGGGCACCACCCTTACATTGTGCTTTTAATTCCCCAAAACATATTCCTATTTTCAGGAAACCCTTGGGGAAAGGGAGACTTGCACTTGACAGATGATGTATTTGAGGTTCTAGTTAGCTAAGTGATTTATCTAGTGATCTGTCACTAACAACTCAGTCAAAACCCTGGTTATCTGTGTCCCTAGATGAGCAATAGCTACCTAGCAAATGATCTGTGAACACAAGACATCATTCCTAACGACTTCACATTCTGCGGTGCAGAGAACATATGAAAGTTAAAGAGCAGTTCACTTAGTCATAATACACAGACTCAAAGTCCCCAAGTTATTCTCTATGAAAATGAACATGCGATGCTGAGTGACCCAACAACCACGGCCTGAGGCAGTCGGCCCCCATGACTCCGGATACTGGCTGCAGGCTGCTGCAGAACATCTCAGGGATTTCAGATGAGGAGACACGTGCTCCGTGTTCCTCCTGAGCGGCCAAGAATCTCCCCAGCTGGACCAAACGCAGCAGGGTCTTCACAGCTGGTGAACCCTTAAGTCATATTGAAATCCCTTGATTCTCTTGCTTAGGAAATGAGCTATTAGTGGTTCTTCCTAAACCTGCCTATGCCACAGAATCATCTGGAAGAGCTTTATAATGAAGATATTTTGGATTCACACAAGCCCCACAGACTTAGAAACTCTGAAGGCTAGAACCTGGGGAATCTACATTTTATAATTCAGGAAGCCTTGAAATTCACTGGTTTTTCTCATTTCTTAGTACTATAATGTGTGAGAGGCGAGACAGCTGCTTTTATTAACTAGTGAGAAAGTTAGGGTGTATCTTTTAAGGGCAGCTTCCAGAAGAAATTTGTCTCTAACAGCCCAGGTCCTGACATAGTGGGAAGGTCCTGGGAGTCTCCTCCTGGTGATCTGTGAAGTCTGTTGTCTCACTTCCTGTGGCTGCACATCCAACCCACATACAGCCCTGGGAGAGCTTTTGGTTTGTTTTTGTTTTTGAGGCAGAGTCTCACTGTGTCAACTTGGGTAGAGTGCCGTGTGTCAGCCTAGCTCACAGCAACCTCAAACTCCTGTGGTTCCAGAGATCCTCTTGCCTCAGTCTCTGGAGTGGCTGGGACTATAGGCACCAACCAACGCCTGGCTAGTTTCTTCTATTTCTAGTAGAGAAGGGGTCTCACCCTTGCTAAGGCTGGTCTTGAACTTCTGATTTCAAGCAATCCACCTGCCTTGGCCTCCCAGAGTATTGGGATTATAGGTGGAAGCCACCATGCCCTCCCACCAGGGAGAGCTTTCTCTGAGATTCGTTTCCCAATACCCTTGTGAAGCAGCCCTTCACCTGCAAGGGTCAAGTAGGTCTCCAGCAGACAAGATCCGAGAGTGTGGACAATCCCTCACTGCCCCTGCCCCATCCTGTCTCCCAGCCATCACCAAAGGAGCCTGACTCCTCCCTATGGACCTATCTTCTGTCCTTACATTTTCTGGCTTGGAAAAAGGAAAAGAAAGAAGTTGGTGTAGGCACAGGTGGCCAGTGCCCTCAGGGGACACAGAATGGTTCTTACCTGTATCAGGAAGGAAGAGAAGCTGCTCTGTTCACTGGGGACCTTGTCTCTGTTGGCGAGCACTGGTCTTGGAACTCACTGGACTTTGAACAAAGATTGATTTAAAAGCTGATGTATTTAACAGGGATGTGAGTTCAAGTGACCTCTGTCCTGCTTGCTGCCAGCTGGCTGGGCCCTGAGCTGGAAACCTGACAAACCCTCAGCAACCCCAGCGTTCTAGCTCACCGGCCTGAGTGTGGGGGCCAGGATGACACTTCTAGCCTGCTGCTCCCACAGTGAAGAGGGGAGGACAAGAGGGGACAAGGCCACTGGCTCCTGGGCCCTCTCCCTCAGGTAGATGCTCTGGTCGTGCCCAGCCAACCCCCAGTCCCATCAGGACCCTCTACTCCCTCCCATCCTATGGGCAGGCCAAAGACCATCACACACAGAGGCCTTCCTGGGGAGCAGTGACCTGTACAACCCCCACCCAGTAGCCAGCCAGTGGGCCCATAGCCCCAGGAAATAGAGCACAGCCCGCAAGCCCACCTGCATCCCCACCTCCACCCTGGGAGTACTTACTTGCTCAGCTAGCAAAGCCGGAGGGCCAGCATCCCAGGCCTCCTTACGCTCTCTCCCCCCTCTCCTTTTGTTGTCTCTGTCTCACCTGAGGGTGCTGTTTCTTATGGTGCTCCAGACTTCCGATGATTGTCTTCCTCTTCACATACTCAGAGCCTCTCAGGTGAGCCCAGTAAGGTTTGGGAAGGCATTTTCACAAGCGCCTCTGCCCAGCCCCAGCTGTGGCCAGCAGCTGACCCCTATCAGCAGCACCCACGCACACGACTCCAGCACTGGGCTTCTCACCGACCTGGATCCTCAGCCCACACTGCAAATCAGGGCAGGAGCTTGCTCCAGGCAGTGAAGCAAAGCGAACCAGATGCAAGGACTGAGTGGCCTCACCCCTCCTCCACCCACACTGGAAGTGACACCTGTCTTTGCTGGACCTCAGCTTTGCCCCCAACAAAGGCATGACCTGAGCCAATGGGTATACTGTTTAAAATGACAAACATCTGAGCAGCTTCCTCACACCAGGTCATTTCTCTCTTGAGGCTATGCCCTCTTGGCCTCCTGTCTACCTTCCAGAGCAGAAGGGTAAAATGGGAAAAATCTGGATTCAGGACCAGAACACCAAGTTCAAAATCTGACTTTGCCACTACCTAGGCTTTGATCTAGAGCAGTTCATTTTTATCTGAAGCTCACTTACCTTCATCATCTATAAATAGTTGTTATATTGTTTTTAGAAATTTTTTATATCAAGTCAAAATATTCCTCGCCTCTACCTCTCTGGAGATACACCCATGAAGTCCAGTCCTCACTCTACATAGCAGCTCGTCAAACATCTGAAAGCTAGTGGATCCTTATAAACCTTCTTTTCTCTGGATTCAATAAATGTCCCTCATTCCATAAAGTGGTCTGCCTATGCAATTATTTCAAAACTTCTCATGCTAGACCTAGCTAATTTGCAAATTTCCCTCTTAAAAATCAGTGCCTAATGAGGAAAAAATTTTTTTTTTGAGACAAGCTGTCCCCCTGTGTAGAGTGCTGTGGCATCACAGCTCACAGCAACCTACAACTCCTGGGCTCAAGTGAGTCTCCTGCCTCTGCCTCCCAAGTTGCTGAGACCACAGGTGCCCGCCACAATGCCTGGCTATTTTTTTTTTTTGGTTGCAGCCATCATTGTTGTTGGCGGGCCTGGGCTGGATTCAAACCCGCCACCTTAGGTGTGTGTGGCTGGCGCCTTAGCCACTTGAGCCATAGGCACTGAGCCAAGGAAACTTTTTAAGGTGGGAGAATTGTTAGATATCTTCAGTATCAGGGTGGCTACACAATTGTCTATAATTACTAAAATTTGATGGGTTATATTGCAAGTAAGTGATTACTTAGGGTTTTTTTGTAGAGACAGACTCTCCCTTTGTCTCCCTCAGTAGAGTGCTGTGGCGTCACACAGCTCACAGCAACCTCCAACTCCTGGGCTCAGGCGATTCTCTTGCCGCAGCCTCCCGAGTAGCTTACAGGCACCCACCACAATGCCCGGTTTTTTTGTTGCAGTTTGGCCGGGGCCAGGTTTGAACCCACCATCCTCAGTATATGGGGCCAGTGCCCTACCCACTGAGCCACAGGTGCCACCCAAGTGATTACTTAGCTTTTAAAGAAAAAAACCCTAATTCAGTAAAATTTATTCTTAAAACTTCTAAAATGAAAAAAGTAGGGTGAGAAAAAAAAAAAAAAGACAGCCTTAGCCTCAATAATGAAGCTATTTCACGAGGCTTCTCAGACCCAACCTTCCATTACAAACAGAGATGGAACAAATAGCCACAAGTCTTCACGCCCCTGGAAAGAAAAGAGGCCTTGAAATGCAGAGACAGTATTTGTTCAAAATTAAATAAAAATGAGCAATGGCAAAACTCTTTCCTGGTAGGATGTTTTACTGAATTGAGATTTGGATTTTAAAATATTTTTCAGCTATAAGTGGATCTGATCTGATTAATCAAAGCAGAGTAAGTCACTTTACTGAGTACATAGATGTAGACATCGATGAGGAGGAAAAATAACATTATCTAATATGTGCCAAGTGAGCCTTTATGTCTATTATTCTGTTTAAACTTCACCACCAGCCTGTAAGATAATATCCACTTTACAGATAAGAGAGCTTAAATTCATCTGGTTAATTATCCTGCCTAAGACCACCTGACTCGCACGACTGCTGCCCCAGCATTGGGCTACAGCCTGCTGTCCTCTGAAGTAGTGTTATTTGCCTCTATGACAAAGCTTTCCTTCCCTGGAGGAGCTCAAGCAGAGGCTGAGGATGATCTGTGAATCATGGTACAGAAAGACGTCCTGGGACTCGCCTGGTGGCTCACGCCTGTAATCCCAGCACTCTGGGAAGCCAACCTAGGAGGATCCCTTGAGCCCAGGGGTTCTAGACCAGCCTGAGCAAGAGTAAGATCCCATCTCTACGAAAAATAGAAAAATTAGCCAGGCTCCGTGGTGGATGCCTATAGTCCCAGACACTCAGGAGGCGGAGGCAGGAGGATCACTTGGGCTGATGTCAGGGCACTCCTAGCCTGGGCAACAGAGACCTCTGTCTCAAAAAAAAAAAAAAATTCTGCATTGTTAGGGAGATTGTACAAGGCAGGATTGGAATGGGTCTGTTTCAACTCTAAGATTCTATGATCCTAAATACTGTGGGTACTAAGGAGACTCTCCCCATGAGTGCGTAAGTACTAGTGTCTGTGTAGAAGGCATGAAGCTAAGAATTATGAGTGTGGTCTTTGGCATCAAACAGATGCTGATTTGAATCTTATGTTTGACGCTAAAACCTTTGTATTTTATTGTTGTGAGCTCAAGTTTATCTGGGTTTTATCTATAGGAACCCTTGGCAGCCTGGGTGAAGGATTTTCTTTTGGTTTTGTCAGAAAGCACTCCTACATATTCCTAGAACTGTGAGGAAGGGCACTAACAACCTGGGACCAATTTATATTAATTATTTGCCTTGGTCTTCTGGATCCTGCAAATAATGAATGTCAGTTACAACCTCAGGATGCTCTTTCCCCAAAGGCAGATTTGTGGCTGGCAGTTTGCAATAAGGAATTCTTTTTTCTTCCCAGAGTTACTAGGCCAAGAGAGATCTTTTTTATCATCCTTATACAGGGTAGCTGTACAGTTCGTGTGCACTTTATGGCCACCCTGTATATTGTTTATTTATTATTTTCTGTCTTGTCCTTACCAAAATACATTATAAATTCTCCAAGGGCAGGGATTTGTATTTTTTTTTTTTTTTTTGAGACAGAGCCTCAAGCTGTCGCCCTGGGTAGAGTGCTGTGGCATCACAGCTCACAGCAACCTCCAACTCCTGGGCTTAAGTGATTCTCTTGCCTCCGCCTCCAAAGTAGGTGGGACTACAGGCGCCTGCCACAACACCTGGCTATTTTTTGGTTGCAGTCATCATTGTTGTTTGGCAGGCCCGGGCTGGATTCGAACCTGCCAACTCAGGCGTATATGGCTGGCGCCTTAACCGTATTTTTGCCACTATATTCTAAGTACCTGGAATAAAAGCCTAGCATATAGTAAGCTTTCCAAAAATGTTACAGAGTGAATAAAAAAATGGATATCCCTTTGCCAGTGGGGCTGGTTTTTAGCCCACCCTTTCACTGAGAATGTGGCCTTTGAGGGTAGGGTCTCAACTCCTAGGCCTTATCTCCCATCTGAAGGTGACCCTGGGAAAACAAACTGCTTGGTTACTGGTTTCCAGCTCGCTCTTCATGTTTGGGCCTAAGAGATTTATTTTCCTTTATTATGAGCTCAACTATCTATTTGAAAAAAATGTTTGATACGTTTTACCCAGTATTTCTATGAACTTTATAGAGGGAGAGTTTTTAAATTATCACTCTGCCAGAAATGATTCTGCCACTTCATAGTTGCTTTGCCTTTCAAAGATCCAACATTTTTATCTATAAAACACAGATAACACTGACAACCTCTGAGGATTGCTCAGAGATTTAAGAAAATATTGGTTCAGTGTTCAGACCTGGAAATGTATAATACATAACATTATCATTTTTTCATGAATAGGCTCTCTTAATTTATGGGCACACATTGTTCAAACAGGCTTATGAAAATACATGGGCTAAAAGAACAGAGTGGGCCACCCAGGAGTTTGGGATATTTAGAGGCATCATGGACGGCATTCTTGTTTTCTTACACCCAGGATTTTGTGCAACTGGTCAGAAAAAAAGAACTAGAAAGACTTGAGCAAAGTGGTGGTTACATAGGTGCTTACGATTAATTATTGAGTTATACATTTTTATGTACTTATTCTGTGTACATATGATGTTTGATAAGGAGGTTAAGAAGTAAGGAATTTTAAGTATTCTAATACATGTATAGCATCCTAGAGTAAGAATCAACAGTTCCTCAAGGCTGCAAGTAACTTCCCTGAGAGATTTAAGTTCGGAAGTTTCAGCTACACCTGGCCCTCCACAGTCTATTCAAAAATAGTGGTTACAGCACCAGCCCCATGCACCAAGGCTGGCGGGTTCGAGACCAGCCTGGGCCAGCTGAATGGCAGTGACTGCTGCAATAGAAGAGTGGCTGGGCACTGTGGCAGGTGCCTGTGGTCCCAGCTGCTTGGAAGGCAGAGGCAGGAGAATCACTTGTGCCCGGGTGTTTGAGG